AGAGAGAGAGAGAGATTAATTCAAAACAATACTTGTTATATAAACAACCAACAAATAGATGTCTTTGATGCAGACTTTGGACTATCTTATGTTTTCAGGTATACAAGTATGCTACCGAAAAAGAACAGCAATCCTGGTGGTGCTAATTCATCTCCAAAGACAAAAAGCACCATTGAAAACCAGCATTGGGGGTCTTCTAGTGGAAGCCATGAAACCACTAGAACCAATCCCGCAAGTTGGGCTGACGCATCTGAGTTTTCGGTTGATGTTGTAGAAGATTGGGGTGAATGGGAGGCTCAAGGAAGAAAATCTAGGAAACCAAAGCAGCAACAAAACACAGTCCAACCAGACCCCAGACCATCTAATTTATCTGGGAGGGCACCTAATAATAACTGGCACCAACAAAGCCATGAACCCAAAAAGCAAGTTAACAGTAGAGAAAACCCATGGCTTCAGACTTCGAAGTGGGAAGCTGATTATATAGGTCCTCCTCCTGTTATCCCCCCACCTCTTGAAAATGGTTGGCAATGGCAATGGCAAAGTCAAGCTGGTTCATTGAACCGAGCCAGCAATGAGTCTAAAGATAAAACCCAAGTTGGAGATCCAAGTTCTATCAGGGAAGACGATAGATCTCCAGATGTAGAAGATCACAAATTCGCTGATAGTCCCTCTGAGAGCGACGACCTCGAGGAAGATAGCGACGATGATTTGTTGAGTGATGGCGACTATGACTCAGATATTAGCCAAAAGAGCCATAGTGAACTGAAGAAAAACAAGTGGTACAATAAGTTTTTCGAGACAATGGATGAGTTGACTGTGGAGGACATTAATGATCCTTTGAGGCAATGGCATTGCCCAGCTTGTGCTGGTGGCCCTGGTGCCATCGATTGGTATAAGGGGATGCAGCCTCTTGTAACCCATGCTAAGACAAAGGGATCAAATAGAGTTAGGCTTCATAGGAAGTTTGCTGAGCTTTTGGAAGAGGAGCTGCAGAGGAGGGGCACATCAGCTATACCAGCTGGGGAGTTGTTTGGGAAGTGGAAAGGGCTCCATGATGCTGTTGCTGACCATGAAATAGTTTGGCCTCCAATGGTTATCATCCAAAACACTTTACTTGATCGAAATGACAATGACATGGTATTGTTTCATCACTACAGTTAGCTCTAGCTTTGTCAAAAGGGAAACTACTACTATAATCCAATGGGAAATGGACAAACGAAAGTGAATTGGGTCATCACCCTCCATTGAACTGATGAATGGTGATTGAGAGAGTGGGACTCACCACAGTAGGTCAGGGACTTGATGGTGGGTTGCACCCCACTTTCTCTCCATGACTAGAGATCATTTCACCGGACGGTGGTGATCCCTGTGGCCCATGGTTCTCAATAGTCATTTACATTGTACTATACTTTCCTCTAGTGAAAGTATGTTGTTTTAGCCGTTACTGGTGGAGATACTGTTTCTTTTCTGGTCGAGATAGTCCACATGTTACTGCTTTAAGTGTATATGTTTAACTCATCTGTCTCTTAAGTGCCTTGGCAAGTTCATGTGGGTTGATAAATTCCTTCAATCTCTTGGTTGTACATTTCTTGTAGTTATTTGATTGTTGGATTCTTTATTTGCTGGTTGGAACTGTCAGTTTTTTTTATCTTATGTAGCCTCATCTTCCATGCTATTTATGTTTCATGGGTCTCTATTCTGCTGCACTTGTGGCCTATCTTATTTATCCCATTTTCTAGCATTCTCATGAGACGTCCACTTACTTCCATTGTTGGTATCACTTGTTACGTTTTAGTATACCTTCAAGATCATACATTTCTTTAGTTGCCTTGACTTATTATGTGTATTCTTAGCATGGAATTAGCTAGCTGGTAGAAATTGTGTTTCCTTGGGTTGGACAATGTGTGTTGACCCTTTTCATGATTCCTGGATAACCATTCACCGAAATTCAGGAGCTCTTTTTTTTATTGTTTTATTTTTTTGCTTTCACACATTTGTAATCTTCCTCTTGTGTAATTTTGAATTTGAGAGAGGACATATTTGCTAATGATAGATGAGCGGTCACTGTCAATTAAAGTCGGAATTATTAATAGAAATTCATACACCGACATGTAAGACCTGAAGATAATTCAGGAAGAATAAGAAACCACGGCAGGAAAAGGCCATCGGCATAAATCATAATAAGAAGGAACTTACCTTTATATGGATTTTTCATTTGATATTCCTAGCTTCCTCTGACAGGACATGTTTGTTATTTCTTTTGGGATATGATTCAAGTATTAGTAGTTAGTGATTGCTATTACTCCATTGTATTTCTCAGTACTTGTTGATGTGCTAGATGAATATTCCATGGCATATCTCTAGTATGATGCATTATTTTCTTTTTGGCCATTGACATCATAATCATCATAATTGTCAGTTCTTTCTGTATGTTTCCTTTTATTTTTCCATCTTTCCCAAAAAACTGGAGAGTCCTTTGGTTCTTCACTTGGTTACTTGATTCACTCTTGTTATATTGAATTATTTATTTTTTGCATGGTTTTTATACTTTTCAATTTTTGCCTGTCTCAGTGGACTGGAATGGGGAATCCTGAGCTTGTTGAGTATTTCAAAGCATATGAGCCCGCAAAGGCTAGGCATTCATATGGTTCTCAAGGCCATCGTGGGTTAAGTGTTCTTTTATTTGATGCTTCAGCCATTGGTTATCTGAAAGCCGAGTGCTTGCACAAGCATTTCATGGAAGAGGGGAGAGATAGGGATACATGGGACCGACGCCGCGTTCTCTTTCATCCTGGTGGAAAGCGTGTGTTGTATGGTTATTTGGCCACGAAAGAAGATATGGATTCCTTTAACCGCTACTGCGATAGTTTGTTCTCTCTCTACTCTTGTTATATGTACACATTTCCTCATCTTATACCCTTTATCAATGAAAAAGGCTTTGATAGGGAACACTGCCAGTGATTTTATTTGGAAGCGACAATAACTGCTGGTTTGGTTTATAGGCTTAAGTTTAATGTAATCCCATGGACTTCTGAAATACATGGTTCATTGGGTCTTGAGCATCCAGAGAACGAATAATCATGTTGGGGGGAGCGAGTTAGACCTGTCATTGTGGTCATGTGCTGTTTTAGGCAGGTCTCAGGGCTCCCAGTAGATTATGGTCCTCCATGGTCAATTGGATTACAGTATTCATATGAATTTGTGTAGCCTTCAGGTTTATTTGAGAACTGTGTTAAGTTATTTTAGAACAGTTAAAGCTTTTCAGAAAACAAAATCACTAGGTTAAAAAGTTTCCAATAGAATGTCCATTTACTCCCTCAGGTAAAGTCCTTCTTAGAATTAATTTTAGGACCCTAAATTTGGGGATATAACCTCTTTAACCCATCGATTAACCTCAGTAAAACAAATCTCCTGATTTTACTACCCTCAATGCACTTGAAAAAAATAATCTCTCAAGATTGAATAGAGACCATCCAATTTTTAGATGGTAAGATCTAAGGGTTAGGAGACTCAAAACTTCAAAAAAAAAATTAATGAGAATAATCAATGTACTAGTTCTTAAGTGGTTCTCAAAATTTCAGGTTGAAAGAAAATCATCTCAATTAGATCTTTTGATCAAGGGTGTAAAAGTAAATTGTGCTCTCAAGGGAGCATATATATATATATATATATATATATATATATATATAGTAGGTAGGTGTAGTTTACGTTACCG